AGGTACACTTCCTTATGTAGAAGATAGACTTGGCTGCAGGGTTGGGACAGGAACAGGAAGATTAGGTGTGACTATGCTGAATAAGCAAATAGTCCTTTAGTGGACAGGTGGAGTTTGTGTTTCTGGTGGTTTCAAATGCTTGCTATGCAGACTAAATGATGCTTTGACAATGACAATTTTTAGGAGGCACCTGGAGATCTGACTGGGGGTTATTGTGTCTTGTAACCAGTTTGACTGTGAAACTGACGTACGTTTCGCAGTAAAGCAAAACAGCTCATACTGCAACAATTTTGAGATCTAGGTACTTGAGGATGTGGCAGGTATCAGAATAAACTGTGCCTTCCTAGTGCAAGTGTAGAATAGGGATTTTGGGAGTCGAATAAGGGTTTGGGGACTGCAACTTTCTTTTATTCTTTCCAGATTCCATTTTACACAAATCTAAAGCTTTACATGAAATTAGGCATCAGGCAGTTCCCTCTCCAGCTGTAATGAATTAGAAAACTCTGATTAATTAAGTTTTTAAAATCCTTTTGTCTCTCCCCTGAAATAAATTCTCCCCCCCGAAAAAAAAATTCTCTGGACTTAAGGGACTGAAATAAATTCTCTACTGGTAGAAAGAGACTTTAAATATTGACTGTAGCCTAAGGAGGCAAACTCCACTAGAGGGCAGTTCAGAGCAAGAGTGTAATCAGTTGCCTCGTTTCCTCTTCAGAGACCATCTCTGTAAAGTCTATTCTTTCTGTGTTCAACAGGGATTATCTTTTTAGCCTAAAGTATTTTCCACTATATCTAAACTTGATAAGCCACTAACTACATTATACTAAACAGGAACCTATATTTAGGGTTAAGCGCATGTAATTGCAAATCTACGCTTCTGCATGCTGAATTCAAGTGTGAGAGAATGCAGGGTATTTGGACAAACATAAACTTTGGGTGGCATTTTTGTATCTTTAAGATGTTGTTTTATATATTTTTTTATATATATATATACACACACACATATATGCACATATATATGTGTATATATAGGTATGTCTATATAGTACAGTTATGGTGAGATTTGTGCCCCAGGCTGCAAATTTTCTGAATGTAATTTTGTGCTCACCTTCAGACTTTTTGTGCTTGTGTACATAGTTATTTCTAAAACATCTGCACTGGGTTGCTTCATTGACCTGTGTAGTTTGCTACAATAATAATGTTCAGCCTTTGATTTTTATCTGGATAATGAGATCTTTCATTTTAGAAATAGCTATTAATCACTTAACTCTTACAGTTAAATGGCTACCTCGTCTTCCAGGCATTTTATATGTCCATAGTTCCTGGGGCAAACCATTTCCAGTGGCAACAGATTTTGTCCTCACACTAGCTTTGTCAATTGAGAATTCTAATCAAAAGCAGAATTATGTATTTTTTCATTTTAATCTATTGTGACTTGTGAAAACTAATTAAACATTCCTTAGAACCTCTAATTTTAACCAGAAAGCCATTAAATAATAACTTTTATTTTGAAACCAGGCTGTTATAATGTGTGAATAGGACTTAAAATTGTATTTCTAAAATACCACTTGAAAAATGCATGACTTGTTGCCTGCCACCTTTCCTGAATATAGTGTTTGAGGGATGGGTGTTTGTCCTTGCCAGAAGAGCATTGCAAAGCAGTTTATAGTTGTTCTGTCTACATACCAAATGCTTAATTTTCAGATGTTTTCTGTTTATGAAAACATTTGTGTGAGCAGACGTGTTGAGATGTCTTTTCTTTGTTAATAATCGAGGCCAGTACATAATTTCTCACTTACTTCAATATGCTTTTCACTATTCAATTAAAGTTGTTTTGAGTATATTTTTTTTATTGAGCAAGATTTTGTTTTTGAAGTGGCCCCGCACATTTAAGTGGTTTTAATGCTACAGTTCATTCCAATGAGATAATGGTATATGCCTAGTTGGAGCCCTTCAGAGCATTTTTGGGTGGATCCACCGTATTTTATTTGCTAATCCTGTTGTGTTTGAATATGAAAACTTTGTTATTTTCTGTAAACTTAAGTGTGTAAATATGAAAGGAAATGTTACCAGTTGCTATTTAGGGTCTCAGTCAGCTGTTGTCAGAGACATGATTTCAAATAAAACTGAGTAAACTGGTAGGTTTTTTTTCTTCTGTCTTGTGAGTAGTGAAGTCAATAAGATACAGATTTGAACATAAGAAAAGTGTTGAATCCTTTCTTCCAATATGTTTGTTTTGAGGCTATGTTGACAAAGTCAATGTGCTGGCTGTAGTATTCTGATACTCCCTGTGATACTGAGTGTGGAAGTTGAGTTCCTCCTCAGCTTTGCACAATGCGGATCTGGTGTCTCCAGAAAAATATCAGGTAATTAAGATAGTTTGTGGTATAATGGGGAAATTAGTATGGCTAGTAGATTTTGTTTTGCATGGCTAGAGGGTATTGTTTTGCTTGGTTGATTTACTAAATATTAATTGGAGTAACAAAGTGACTTGACTCCAGTTTGAAGTGATCATTATTCTCTTGCACTGTATTTTAGAAGTAATTTATGAATTTTGTACATAACAACATTGGTCCAAATGGAGGAACTGAGGAAGATTACCCCAATGAGTAATAATTTTTAATTGTGTGCTGTAATCAACAAAGCCAATGTTTAGGCTGTCACGTCTATCAAATAGACCATATGTATATAGAGAAGATTATTCTGGGAGAATAATTAAAAAGAATTTAGGAGATTCAGGGAGTTTTATCTTGCAGTTTGTGTTGATCTATTTTTATTTTAATACTGTTCTCACAGCCTAGAGTAATACAGAAACGTTGCCTTAAAAGTGCCAGCCAAACTAGGAATCCTGTCTGTGACATATCTCCTAATTGTTTGCTCCTGTAATTATGGAATTTCTCCTAGAGATACCTAAAAAGGGAAAAGAAAGCATGAGGATAGCTTTTGAATTTGCTACCTCGGAGGAGGAGAGACTTAAATGATTTGTAAGGGCTCTGGTGGTTTCTATTAGTTCTAATAATAACAATCAAACATGTTGCTCCTTCCCTGTTGGCTTCTCACCTCTGTGCTGGTGGTCACTGGTTCCATAAGAGAAAACCAGACTTGGCTTTTTAACCACTTATGGTCATTACATTGTACAGGCCTAGTACATTAACTACCTCCAACTTCAGCCCTAAATTATTAGGTTATACTGTGATTGACAGGCAGTAATCCCTTGTAGGGGAATCGGATTGATATCTGGATTTGTGACTTCTTCAGTTGATCCTGCAAGACCTCCTCAACTGGAAGATTCTGTGGTTTTTTTGGAAGAACATGATGAGTTAAAGCAGAGGAAAGCAAGAGGGCATCCTTCTGGCTACAGCTGTGTTTTGGGTTTGTGTGATGGGGTTTTGGTAGTGGGGGAGGGCTGCAGGGGTGGCTCCTGTGAGAAGCTGCTGGAAGCTTCCCTGGCTCCAAGTTGGACCCACCTCTGGCCAAGGCTGAGCCCATTGGTGATGGTGGTAGTGCTTCTGGGAGAGTAGATTTAAGAAGGGGAACCTGCAGTGAGTGAGGGGAGTGGGATGCAAGAGAAGCCCCTGTGCAGACAGCAAGGTCAGTGAAGAAGGAGGGGGAGGAGGGGATGCCCCTGCAGCCCATGGAGGTGAGCGGGGGAGCAGATGCCCACCTGCAGCCCGGGGAGGACCCCACGCCGGAGCAGGTGGGTGCCTCTGAAGATGGCCATGACTCCATGGGAAACCCATGCTGGAGCAGTCCATGACTGAAGATCGGCCTGCGAAAAGGACCCATGTCAGGGAAGTTTGTGAGGAACTTCAGCCTGTGGAAAGGACTCATGTTGGAGAAGATTGTGAAGGACTGTCTCCCATGGGAGGGACCCCACGCTGGAGCAGGGGAAGAGTGAGGAGTCCTCCCCCTGAGGAGAAAGGAGCAGCAGAGACAAGGTGTGATGGACTGACCCCAACCCCCATCCCCTGTTCCCCTGCGCTGCTGGGGGGGAGGAGGTAGAGAAAATCAGGAGTGGAGTTGAGCCGGGAAAAGGAGGGAGAGGTGGGGGGGAAGGTGTTTTAAGATTTGGTTTTACTTTGCATTATCCTGTTTTGTTTTGATTTGATTTGTAGTAGATTAAATTGATTTTGTTTTTTCCCCAAACTGAGTCTGTCTTTTGCCCATGACCGTAAGTGGTGAGTGATCCTTCCCAGTCCTTGTCTCAACCCATGAATGAGTGAGCGAGCAGCTTCATGGTGCTTTGTTGCTGGCTGGGCTTAAACCATAACAAGCTGTTAATTCTAAGCTAATTCTGTAGCTGAACAAAACTGTATTTATGTAGTCTAAAAGTCTTAAAAAATTTTAAGACTGTAGTCTTAAAGTACAAGTCTTTTGTATTTTTGCATCTCGTTGCTAACTCTTGGCAAAGAGATTGTGTGTACTTGTTAGAGGGCCAGCCTTGCCCTCTGTTGTAAACAATGTTTTATTTTGAAGGTAGCTCTGTATAGATGTGGAATAAAGTAAGAGAAGTAAGGCGGGAACACTTCATGTGTCTAAACCATAGTGTCATGTTTTTAGTATGGTTTGTGGTATTCAAGATATCTTTATGGCAGAGTGGAGATACAACACAGGCAACTTGGGGCCTGTTGGACAACAGTTGGAGGCCTGTAGAGATACTGTAGAGCCTCTGAAGTGACATCTGAATCCCACTTCAGCTGACCCAGCAAATTAAAAGAAGGAATTCTATCCAAAGTGAATGAAACCTAGCAGGGCCAGGAATCTGTCTAGAATTAAGATCAAACACATCATCAACCCACACAGAATAAATCCAACTTTTACTCTTAAAAATGTGCAGGAATAAATAGAATACAATAGCATTCATTGGTTGTACAGTCTGGACAACTTGTGAACAAAAGCTAATGAGAAATACTAGTTGGTTCCTTTTTGTACTAAAATAGTAATATGTGTTTATGTTGTACTTGTCCTTGATTAAATTACTAGTTGTTCTCTTTCTGTTTTAGGTTATGGTCAGACTGGTCCAATGGTTCAGAGAGGTGGATATGACTCCATTGCAGCTGCTGTTTCTGGTCTCATGCATATCACAGGGCATGAGGTATGGTGCTCAACTTATAAATTTAACAGAATCTTTGTGCCATATACTAAAATTTGATGCTGCATGGAGCAAGTTAGCCTATGCTAACACATCTGTTATGCATGCCTTCCTGAGTCCAACAAGTCTTATCTCTAAGAAAATGATAGTGCTTATGTCCTTCAGGTATCTCACTCCAGGCTCCAGGCAAAGCCAATGCCTGAGAAACAGAAAATGGAAGAAAAATGGTATTATAAATCTCAAGTGAATAAATTGACAATTTATGCTAACCTGTTAATGGCCATTTGTAGTCACTTCAAGAGCTGTAATAGACACATTATTGACAGCTGTATGATGGAACCATACATACGTGTGGGAAGTCTCACCTGTGCTTTGATTTTGATATTCCCTCTTTAAAAGAGGGAATTGTGAAGCCATCCAGATAACTCTGACAAACTGTCTTTTCAGTCATCCTGCCTGAAAATAAGCAGAGAGATTCCATTAGTGGTTCTGGAAAAGCTTTATGTGCTGCTATTCCCAGTGATATCCAAGATCTTTGGTAGTTGCAGTAGTGCAGGAAGCATTACAGAGGTAGTTTAGTATCTGGAGTTCAGGCATACATAGAATGTGTGTCTTCACTTCAGAAAAATGCTGGTCAAATAGGCATTTACTTAGGCTGTATTGAATCACCGACAGGTGCAGGGAATGTGGTCTCCAAATGTCACTTATCAAATCAGATAGTGTTAGAAGTCTATTCTCTGCATCATAAACACTAGATAGTCTTCTGTGGTGGTGCTTCTGATACTCTGGAAGCAATAGTGCAGATCTTTAGAGTATGACACTTGCATGCCCTAGATAAACAAGGAGTTATCAAGTTTCTGTACTTGGTGTCAGATACTGATGTTTGAGTCGGTTGTTGAAAGCTAACCGTGCATGATCTGAACATAACTCTACTGCAGGATTGATAGTCTGCCAATTGACTTGTTTTCTGCCAAGAACAATGGCAAACATCAGAACTCTGTGTGTGTGGCAATTATTGTTACCAGAGTCCTCCTTTCTATTAAAAAAAAAAATAAAAAATCAAGCATCATTTGACTGAGGAAAGTGAAACATTTTGTGTCTTTCGACTGTCTGTCCATTGCTGCCATGTTAATGACACATAGTCACAGGATATCCCATCTCACAACATAAGACATGAAGTTGAGTGCAGTCCTTACAGGTACTTCTCTTCAAATGTATAATGCACGTACACACTAAGCACTGACTGATCACAGTAACTGTAGTGTAAGTAATTTTTACATTCTGACCCTGGTAGAGTGAAGGTTAGTACTTCCAATTCAATGCCAGAAACTTCATGCATGCCTCGAAATATACCAAACAAAATTAAATAGGAGTATAAACTGTTAGAAAGGGGCAAATGTTGTTAGTACAACATGAATAAATTATGTTGAAAAATTGAAAAAACCTAGGAGTCTCGTAAAGCTTTTCAATGATATGTGAATGACAGAAAATACAAGTTATTCAGTTATACTGAATAATTGTATGTAAGTTATATTATGAGAGTAATAGTCCTCAGTGGCCATTATGAAGATGGATTTTATTAAAAGATTGTGTTAAGATCTACACTGGAAATCCAGATGTTTGCATCACCTCACCAGGACTCGAGGCAATGTAATCATAGGAATCATTTAATCACCGTTAGTAACAGTTCCATCTATTCACTGGGGGCTTTCAACAATCGTTCAAACTTAGTCATTCTCTTGCGTGATTAAAATAAATGTGCTAAAACTTGCTTCTTATTTTTCTTTATTTGAAGTTGGTCATATATTCATCAGTTTCTCAAAACCATTTTCTGATATATAGAGGGACAGTTTAGTTTCAAAGACTTAAGTGGTCTGTGACTCCAAAGAAGCAAATGTGTCTTTTGTTGTTGTAGTGAAAATTTCCTCAAGTGGCTTTAAAATCATATTGTATGCTTGTTTGAAAGTTACTTTAAAATAACAACGTATTATTAGTAGTAAAAACTTCCATGTTCTACATTTATGTTCATGTGACTAGGTTGTGTTTAAAATTCAACAAAACTAGGTCTGACAAAAGTAAAAACCTTGTTTCAGTCAGCATGTAGAGAAGTGGCCAAAGTAGAGAAGAAAAAAGAATCTTACTCACTTTTTCATGCTGTTTTTCTTTATTAAACCTTGAATCATTTGTTGACCAGATAACATGGAATTCATATACTAAAAATAACATCATTTGAAGCATACCCTAGTAAGCTAGATATGAATTTTTTTTTCTGAAATAAAATTACAAATGCCAGTCTTATGAACTGGGAAGAAAAAAAAAAAGAAAAGTTATAACAGATGATGTTGGTTTTGTATTGCATTGCGGTAGCTATAGATAATCGGCATAATAACATCAGTGTAGCAGTGCTCTGGGGAAACTTCCCTTCAGTAAACAAGCCATTGAATGTGCTTGCAGGATGGTCTTAGAGTTATCTGCTGATGCAGTAGACAAATTATAATGAATTTGAGCAGCAGCAACAAAACATTTACATATATCACTGAGGTGCTTAATTTTGAGTTATGTTAATACATATTTACAGCTCCTCACAAAGCCTTTTAATAATAGGATACTAAAATTATGTCCTGTATCTGACATTTTTAAATGGATAGAATAGCAACATATGTTCCATTTTAGCTTAGACAAATTTCATGTTGTGAACTTTAGTTTATTCCAACCCTCTAGCTACTGATTTGATGTCTCAAAAAGCAGTTTGTTGTTGCAGATCACATAACTTTATTGGGTATTGAGGCCATGCCTCTGGTCAGTAGTCTTAATAATAAGCCATGAAATCAATATATTACCAGCACCGGATTTTGAGCAAAACTTAAACCTTCATGAAGTCTGTCACATATGTAACATTCATTTTCTTCAATACTTTATATTTCATGTAACACTATAATTTTTGAAGCAGTAAAGAGATCACAGTGGAAGAGATGGAAGTTTCTGACTAAAATGTGTGTATTTTATCCAAGTTATCTTTTTGTTAAGGAGATAAAGTTATTGTAATACAAATATGGAATGCACCAAAGATACACAATAATACTACATTTGGCACACAGTATAAGCCTTTTGAAAGGGAGATGAATCATATGCTGTATCCATCTGATTTTTAAGATCTGAAAGAAGATTCCTGTATAAAGAAATTCTGAACGGCTTGCCTTTTTTGCTAGAAAATAGTTGTTACTGAAATGACTTAATGCTGATTATTTTGCAGTGCTTCTGAGGAAAGTTCTGAACCTTGAAATCAAGCTAATGCAATATTGCAAGGTTGCAGGCACAAACAACTGCATTTGTGCTAGTGTTGTTTTTGCTGATTGTGCAAAACCAAACACATTCAGTGTACAGTAGAATGCTATCTTTAAGCCATGTTTTCATGTGCAGAAACCTGCATGGAATTCAAGCTCTTACACATGTACTTGATTACTTCTGTATTAGAAATGTGTGACACCTGTGAAATTTGAAATTCTAGTGTGCTTATGAAAACTGACAAGCAATAGTGGGGAATCTCTTTTTTGTAAATCTGTACCACAGACCCATTTTGAATGAAAGTAGTTGCTTCAGGCCACATTCAGTTTTTCTTTACATAAATTAAAAGATATTAAAAGGACAAAGTTTACACTGATGACACTTTTATTGTCCTGGATGACATAATTTATAGATATTTTCTGGTTAAATACCACATTTAAGTTTCATATTTGATGAACAGAAAGCTTTTACTTAATATATTCAAATACATTAGTGCCAGATGAATATCCCTTTGAAAATTTCTATGACTCATTAAGGCAATAACTTGCAATTAATTAAATAAAACCCAGTTTGGATACAAATCCCCTTCTACCTCCAAGTGGATTATTACATGCAATTTTTGATATTCAGAGTATCTTTATGGTGTGTGTTCTTTCTTGCTGAAGAAACATTTTAGTTTTACTGAACACAAGACAGCAAGACATGATTGGGATCTACAATACCAGAGGGGCCATTCTTCAGCTTAAAACCAAACAAACTGCAACAAAAGAGTACACATGGTATATAGCTCAGAGCTGTTGAAAAATATAGCCATTGCTGGTTCATATTAGCTTCAGCAGCTATTTCCCATTTGTAAAGACTACTGGACTTAGAATATTTTTATTAAGCATGTCATTTCGGAACAATTTCCATTTTTACTGGATCATTTTTATGTTACTGATGTCAGTTTGGGAAGAGAAATTATGTCAAGGGAGGGGGGGGAAGGCTTGGGAAAAGAAGCTTCCAAAATGTGTTGTGGCTATCTCTGGGCCAGAATGTGTTGACAAATTGTAAGGAATTTAGCAAACAGCAAAAATTAGGAATAAAAGTGTAAACTGGTGGTAAGATTGAACAATAGCAAAGCACAGTGACAGAAGAAAGTCTGCTCTACTGGAGTGATTCTTCATCTTTTCAAATGAGTAAAGGGAGTGTCCTGGTACTGCCCCTAATTAAGGTTCAACCCAGCCCTTGAGCCTGGATGGCAGCTTTGTTTGCTTAAAGCACTTTCTATGTGATTAGGGCTACCTTTTATCCTTCTACCAGAACAGTAATATTGCTTTTGGCTGGCAGGGGTGGTGGTGGTGGTGTGTGTTACTTTTAAAATAATTTGCTTGAATAAATGCAACTGTATAGATCCTTACATTGCTCAGGGGACTAGTATAACGCTAGCTACACGAAAGTACTGCTGAGCTGTCAGAAATTCCATCTAAAGGAAGGTATTTGTGTGTGTAGCTTTGTCCTTCATATAAAGTAGCTTCACATTCCTTGTTCTGCAGGGTAGAGATGAAAACCTGAATGAACCCATTTCACAGTCCTTACAGCTGTGCATCCTGTCACAGAAAGGCTGGTTTATGGCACAGGTGGATATTAGAAGCTGATTAAAGGGTGAGAAATGGCAGCTACTCATGGAGCTTGGTAGAAAGACCAAGGAAGGCTAGAAATTGTGTCAGCTGCTGCAGAATTATAGGTTGTGGAGTGTTAGGATGAACTAAAGCCAATGTGTTAAAAATAATGTAGCAGTATAGTGCTAGTAGTTTGTAGGGCTGTTCTGTATGGGGAAATTGTGAAAGTATTTTTAGAAATAAAGGTGACCTTTTTACTGAGGCAAAGGAAGTGTTTGCTTTAAAATATTAGGTAGTTCAGTACTTGATGAGGAAAGTGCTGGAATCAAGGCTTGAGAAGACAAATTCATACCTAAAAATCTATTAAAAATTAAAATAGTCCTGATTTTTATATCTTCAAAGTGTAGTTTTCTCCATCAAGGGTTAAATTAATGACACTTTGAAAACAGTGGGAAGTGTTTTCAAACTAAGAATGTTGCTGCATATCTGTTTGCAAAAACTTAAGTCTTTTTTCATTTCTTGTCATCCCAGTGTCTTGGTTGTAATGTGGGGGAAATGTTTTGTTTTTTTTTTTTTTTAAATTTGTATTTCTCAGTGATAGCTCTGAGGAGCAAAAACCTTCTCATATGCTAATTAGTTTTCTCAGGAGGCCTATGTGTATAAAAATAAAAGAACTTCCTTTCCTGTTTTCCCTCAGAGTTGGGTACAAGGAGAGTGGTGAATGGATGGAACCTTTGAGTTGCCCTTTCTATTGGGAAGGTGAAGTAGCTTAGTGTAGAGTGTGGAGAAGAAAGAAAGAAGGGATTCTTCAAAAAAGTACTTCTTGAAGCAGTGTTCACCTTAAGGATGTGTAGTTTATACATCATCCTTAATGTCTAGGCTATAGATAGTCACAGACTAATCCTTACTGTGGTTTGAATGACAGGAACTGAGATGATTTTTTTTTTAAAATTTTGTCATATTTGGTAACAGATTTTATAATTTTGTTTAGTTACTTTTATGATATGAATAAAATAGAAGCCTTTTCCATCTTACATAGAAAATATTGTACTACACACTTTTATCCCAGAATTGACCTATTAATGCAATTGATAATGCAATATGATACTGTTTTTCTTAAAATAATTTTTAACATATATGATTTGATATCAATTATGTAAATTCTGGTGGAGCACAAAAGAAAAAAAACATGGTGAAGATAAGTTTTAAATTTTTTACGTGAAGCCAAGACACTTGTTTTATAATTATCAGTAAACTTCACTCGCTTGCAATCTTCAAGTATGATTACACTTAACAGTTTAGACATGACTAATTAAAATAATTCTGTAAATTCAATTTTATTGAATTTATGCTAGATTAGTTTGAAGGCACTTATGGGAACTTTGACAGACAGTTATTATTTATCAATTATACTGATTTTAAGTTGGCTTATGATAGGCTTACTTAGGTGCTTAAACTCTGAAACAATCCCATTAGCTTGGTGCTGCTGTTTGTGGAGTGTACTTCAGGGCATGCAATTGCTGTCAGAATCTGAGCATCCGACCTCAAATTTTTCAGAGTAGGAAATGGGAGAATGTCTCAGAAGAAGCACTTTTAAGTGTCTATGGTAAAAGCCTACTGTGACTGAAATTAGAAGTTCATTTTGCCATTGATTGCAGAGGGGCCATATTTCATGCCAGCGATTAGGAAAGTTCTGAAACACATGATGTAAAATGAAGATTCTTTCCTTTATGCCAGAAAAAGGGACGACATACTGAAAAAGGATATTTGAACGAGCAACTTTCCAGTGATTATTGGTCAGAACGTCAAAAATTTGCATGTATTTACATGTGTAAACAAAACAAAGTTGTTTTTGTTTTCTCACTAGGAGCCTGGAGTGTGTATACTGGAAAATACAAAACTGAGATTTGGCTGGGGGAGGGCCAGAAGAGGAGGGAGGAAAAGAGAGTGAGAAGAGCAAAGCAATATGGTTCTGCCTTTCAAACAGACTTGCACCTGGGTCAGCATACTGTGGAAGTCCTTTAGACCTTTGACTTCTAGGCATAATGGAATTCAGTGTTCACTGGATTGCCTTGTCTCTAACAGCATCTCTTTTCTTTTTGCATTGATGAGTTGAAGCATTATGTTATTAGGGCAAAAGTAGCATAACAAATCATTCACAGTTTGCAGTCTGCAGCATTGCGAAGCTACTGTATTGTGTAGATACTGCAAGAATATCTTGTGTTTCAGTGGTAGTTTTCGTACTTCAGTTCACTCAAAAATATTCAGTTTGCAATGCAGAAACATGTAAACACTTTTTCAGATGAGTCTTGTGTAGAATGTACTATAACAAAAAGTAATGTTTTGTTCTTGCTTGTTTTCTTCTTTTTTTGTTGTTGTTTGTTTTGTTTGGGGTGTTGTTGTCTTTTTCTTTAGGATGGTGAGCCAGTTAGACCAGGAGTAGCCATGACAGATCTTGCTACTGGGTTGTATACATACGGAGCAATTATGGCTGGTTTACTTCAGAGGCATAAAACGGGGAAAGGACTGCACATTGACTGCAATCTCTTGTCATCTCAGGTAGGACTTTTAAAAAAAATCGCTTTTAGTTGTGTAGATGTTTGAACCTAAGAATACCATTTTGACATAAATTAATGCAAATTAGTTAGTACAACTAAAGACAACAAAAATGACAATAATGGCATTAGTGACAGTTTTCTTATTCTGCCACACTGGTAGTGACCATTTTATATGACGTGGTTATAGTTACTACTGCATTACGTTTGGTTTTCACTTTTTACAAAGGACCTCCGTGTTCTCTGAAAGCATGGGTTAATCAAGGTTTATAGTATCCCTGAGATTGTAAGTAACAGTTGGAGTAGATAAATTGAGATAGACAAGCATAAATGGTGAAACCACTGTTGGAAGGGAGGTCTAAGGCACTGGGTAACATTGCTACCAGAGTCACTGAATGATTTGTGCAAAATCACCCACAGTAATCAAGTATCACCCAAGTGTCAAAGTAATGTAATCCATGAGGTCTGCCTTTTGGCTCTGGGAATTAAAGAATAAAGTAAGCTTGCAGCATTTTCTAGGCACGTTAAAGAGAAATCTCATCAAAATTGTAAAGACAAAGATATTTTGATCATGAAAGGTATACCGTATACCATGAATAATGAGAAATTTAAATTGTCTTTGAACATATAAGCACCATTGGTGCAATGATTTATAATTCACAAAAAGAAAGTGATGTTGGTATGAACTGCATATGATCAGATGATACAATGTCTTGATGGTGTAGATCCCTGCTGGTAGCAAGTGGATATATAGTGCATAGGGATTTTTGTGTATGTTTTAAAATGTACATCAAAACTGTATACGGTGCTACTCAAAGCTACTGCAGTGCTCTATAATTTTCATCTTTATTCAGTTGTGTTTTTCCTCACATTATACTTGTCAGTACATTTGAGAGGTGATAGAGTGCCCATTGTACAAATAGTTGGCCCTGGTGTGAGCAAGAGGTTGGACAAGATGACCTCTAAAGGTTCCCTCCCACCTGTATCACTGTATGATAATAATGATTGAGACTAATGGTTGAGGTTGCTCTTGTTTTAATACCTACTTCTCTGCATTAAATGCCTACTGAAATCAGATTTGGAAAGGAGGGTAAGCCCTTGCTTAAATCAACAAAGAATTTCTCATTTGTTTCAGAAATGTTTGGAAGGACCGAACTCTTCATCATACTTATGTATACTTGTAAATGTTGTGTCTGTATTTGAAAAAAATAGTAAGCAGTTTAGAAAAATATTTTAAATATATGCTAAACTCTTAATAAGTATTTTGTATATATATGGCAGGTTTTTTTGTTTAATGTATCGTAGTGTTTTATATTATGGCAGCTTCTCCAGTATCTTTTTAATTACTAATTTTATTGGGAGGACTTCCATTAATTTCTGTTAATTTCCAGAATAATTCTGTTATTTTTTGATTCCTTGTTCCACTGTTTTTTGGCTTTTTTTTTTTTAATGGAGCCTTCTTGATTATTATTTGGTATTTTATCAAATGCTGAAAGTAAGAAGAGTTGAAGTTAGGTGTTGCTGTAACTCTCGTTTCACCTTACTTTGTCACCTCATTTGTCTTTAGAATCTTTTTCCTTGGTTAGGATAGATTTGGCTATGCACAAGTGTTCTCATATTGCAAAATTTCTATCTGAAGTTCCATATCATCATCCTTTAGGCCACTCACTGGCATACACAAAGGGAAGGAGGACTGGACACATGTTAGTGAACAAAGCATGATATATGTTTGACTTCTATGTGCTTAGCTGAAGAAGTATTAAATGGTGAAGGAACAGTTTAGTGATTTCTTTTTTTTTTTTTTAAACATTAACTCATTCCATGCTTGTTATCAAATTATAGTTATCTAAAAGTCATTAAGAAGTAATTCCATACATGCAAACTATTATTGTAAAATAGGTGTTTTTATTTACTTCAGTGTTGGATAAATTAAACTGAAATAAGTTGGTATTTTGGAATAAAGTATGGGTATAAACTGTTAATCAGAAAACAGCTATTTTGTTTTAGATAATCCTATTACTTCAGTCCAAATTAACTTTCGGATGTTGGCCCAAGACTGTAATGAAGACATCTATTAAATTGGAAAAAATATTTATGGATGAGGTGCTGGGGTACCAAAAATAAATCCATGTGATCAATCCCATTAAAAAAAAAGGGTTAAAATGAATGGAGGAAAACATAACTGACAGCTGAGTCCCTCTGAGAACCTAGTTTTCCTGGTTAATTTTCTTTCTTTTTGCAAAACTGGTGGTTACTTGTAAGTCTTTAAGGGTAAGTGTACTAAGAAAGAGTAGCACAAAAAAAAAGAAATTGTTCTTGTGGTACTTTGGGTGGTAATGCTTTTTTTTGAAGGAAAGTTAGGCAATTACTGTGATATGATCAGGTTCTTGAAATATCCATGCTTTCAAAGGGGTTATGGTTTTACATACCAAGCTGAGATATCTACAGCTAGCTCTTCCTCATGTGATGTATGTTTAAAAACAATGGCCTTTTGAAGTCTCTCATGGATGCTGCCAAAACAATAAGGAGCCAAAAGTTGTAGACTTTAAGTTTGTTAAGTTCTTGTTGCAATTGATTAATGGTGGGATCTAGAGGTCAAACAGATGAATCATGATAACTTTTCCTTCAGTGTGAGTTTCATAGGAGTGTAGTAATTTTTAATGAAAAAAAGGGATCTTTTTCTGTGTGTAAAACAAAAGCGCTACTGAACTGTACTGCTATTAGTAGTGTTATGACAGCAGGGTCCTTTGTGAAACTTTTGGCTTTTGTCAGTATTTCATGCACTGAGCTAATATAGCAGCATGCTTGCACCTTTTGTCCATCCTTCCTTCATGTGAACTGAGAATTGTGAAGCTAGCCTGTACATATGTCTTCCTTGGGCAGTGTTGATGACTTTGACTATGTCAGAAAGGAAAAATACCCCAAAACAACAGGGGTTAAACACTTAAATAATTAGAAATCCCTGAAACATGTCCATCTATGTCGGTGCTGTCCCTTTTCTGCATGCCTTATAGAAGTGCAACAGGATTTTTAACTTCTGGGTTTTTTTTGGGGGGGGGGAGGGAGAAGGCACCTGGAGGATGCTTTTGATATTAATTTCCTGCACAGATATGCTAATGACAAAGAGCATTGAACTGAATTCAACTGGGAATGAAAATGATCTGAAGCTTTTTAAAGAAATATCCCACTGACTGGCAAGTTTTAGTATTTAACTGGTCTGGGTAGAACCAAATGATAAATGAAATCCTGTTCTCTAAAGAAATGTTATTTTTAGAATATCTTAAAAAAGACATCTTTCTTTCAAATTCTGTATATCAAACACTTTTGCTCTATAGCTTTACAGCAGCTTATTACTACCTAAGAGGATTTCTTTCCCCACAACAAAATAGAATTCTAGGATTTTGTTGATGAGAGAGATACAGTGACCACTAGGATGTGGTTTTGCAGTGAGCACTAGCTTTCTGTATCTCTCATCTATAAACTTTTAACCCATGTCATACAATTCCTTTGAAATTTTTGACTTTTAGATGATTTACAGTTCTCAGCTCCAGACCTTTCAGCATCTAAACAGTGTCCTTTAGATGATGCTAGTAAATAAGAAGGAAGTGGGTTTTGGATTTGGTTCCAATTATGCAATTGTGCCTTTTCTTCTGTTGTGGCTTAAAAAAAAATCTCTTGGAAGTTTTAATATCCTTCCTGTATTTAATTACAACCAGGCTTCACAAATACTGTAATAAGTTGGTTTCTCTTGGATTGAAAAATCTGCAAGAAGTATTTTATATTTAACATTTCTGCAGTTTTGGAGTGTATTTTTTTCCCAGATTCCACAGACAGGATAATGTGGTTAATATTGTTTGTATTATATGATTATTCATCAGACACTTCTCTGCTTCTGATTACTATGTTTTAGTTTGTGTTTGCCAGAGCAAATTCTTAATCTTCTCAAAATTTTGAAGTGACCCTAGAAAAACCTAGCAAATTGGTAAAAATTATTTTCTGTATTCCATCTCTGTGCTTTAGTTTGACAGTTAGTATGGTGAGATAATGGTGAGGTTTAGAAACTACTAGTGGTTTTTTTCTGCATCACTTTTTCCCAAGATGATTGTGTTTAAGGCTTATCTATTTAAGGTGCTTTTAGTGCTCTCTACTCAGGGATTTCATGACATGTCTTTTACGAATTATTGAGTATAGGTGAAACTGGTAACAATTAGATACTGTCTGTAGGATATATATGGTATCACAGGATCCCTGAGCAGTAAGTTTTGTGAGAAATGCCAATCTTGGAACTCAGATACTGTTCAGGTATCTTGACTGTATCTTGTTGCTTCTCTGCTTGCTAACTGAGAGTTGCAAGTTGACTGAATATGGAAAGAAAATCTGCTTTTTTAGAGGTCATTGCTGCTGGTGATTTCAGAGGCCAGCTAGGAGGACTGTTACACAGTTGTCTTGTTTTGGGTATGGTTTGAATAAGCAGTTCTTTTTTACAAGCTTATAAAGCACCATCTTTGCAAAACATTGTATTCTTAATCTCTGTCATGATAAAAATTGTGTATGCACTGTATGGAGACGTCTCTTTCACTGCATAGCTCTGATATGGAAAGACAGTAAAATCTGAATTAATGTGAACATCTCCTTAAATATATACTGTGCATTAAACAGTTTTCTTGGCTACTATTCTTGATAATTTCCATTGAGGACATCAGTATAACTAAGACCAGAACTTATCCCTCGGGGTTTTAAGTAGCCAGAATTTTATTGAATAGACCAGAAGACCATACTAACATGACAGTTACTCAATTTAATATTGGCCTCTGTGGAATGCGTGTTGTGATTTCTAATGAATAGTTATGCAAAAAGTTGTTGGTAGATCATACTCCAACTGGATCTTGGATTTATTTAGTAGCTTTCTTTATTCTGTAAACAGAGTACATACCCAGATTGCAAGCAAATTTTTTCTTTAGCTGCTATCTAGACAGTAAATTTTGTGCCTTTTTGTCTTTGCTA